ATCTTTATTTTCTTTAGAAATACATTATATTAAAATTGAAGACGATTTTAAAATAGAAATTTTAACGTATTTCTTTATTTTACATTATTTTTTTTATATCTTATATAAATCAATCAAAAGTAAATTTTTTGATTTTTTCTTATTGTTTTTAACATAATCAAATTAGTAATTATAAAAATAATTAAATTATAAAATTAATAAAATTTAAATTTATTATTATTAGTTCCAATTTATTTATGCAGATTTTAAGCTAATTTAGGCTGATTAATAATTAAATTTAGATAATTTTAAGTTATTTTAAGCTAATTTTAGATAGATAATTGATAGAGGATTAATAATTAAATTTAGGTAAATTTAGTTTATTTTTAGATTGATTTTAGATGTTTGATTAATAGTGATTTATAACAGGCTGACTATTTTTAATTGATTTTGATATTATTAATTAGAATTAAATTTAATTAGTTATAAATCAGCCTAAAGTCTACATCTGATTTTTAGATGATTTGGGTTTATTTTGATCAATAATAATATAACTAATGATGATGATTATATTTTATCAGGTGGATCAAGATATTATTAATAGTATTTACTATATATTATCAATTTTATTACAAATTTACAGAAATATATAAGATGAAGATAAAGTCAGAATAAGGAGCTATTAAAGAGATAATACTTTTTTATCTTATTCAATTGAATATGATATAGATAATATAAATATTGTAAAACCAGTAAATATTAAAGGCTTATTGCAAAATACTTATACAGCTATTTTATATTTAGATGAGTTTTGATCAATTCTATCAAATATTACACTTATTATAATATTCCTAGATCCTTATTTTAAAACCTTTGATTATTATAATAGTGATGATTAAGGTCGTTAGACAAAATCTAGAGTTTAGATAGACATCTAAATAGTAAAAGTAAAACTTGGTTAAATTATATTAAAATCTTTTGCGAAATTCAGAAAAAGGTAAAATTATTTCAAAGCTTATAAAAATGACAAAACTATATCAAACACTTAGTAAAAATTTAGTGAAACTAAAGGTTTAGATATTTAGCCAAATCCAAAATGAGTTTAGATAAGCAACCTAGTGATGATAAAAATAAAGCTAAAAATTTAATTAAGATTGCATATTAATGTAAAGTTTGATTAAAGATGGGAACTGTAATTAATATGTTGCAACTTTTAATGTTGCAACTTACGTTGCAATTAGTTTTAACCTATATATGTTGCAACTAATTTTAGCTTATGTTGCAACATTTTGTAAATTTGAAATCAATTGCTGTACCATCTTTAAGTTTGATCTTTTACCAATGATTAATATTACTAGTAATCGATTTTCTTCTGATAATAATGATAATATATTTAAAGTTTTAAAAGGCAATATAAGAGATATGAAAGATAAAGCTAAAGATGAATTGGTATTTTATTTGATAAAAATAATTGGATGATCCATTAAAATAGTAGTCAATTAATTACTAATATTAGCTCAAATTACAAGAAAGTATTTATTGATATCTATAACATTAGTTTCTAATAAGTAAAAATTTTCAGATGCAGGTAATCATATTTCTGCTTTCTATAATTAGTGAAACAAATATTATTTATAAAGTAAATACAGTTAAACTTTAATATAACGAAATCTTAATATGCAAATTTTTAACATTTAACCAATCAAATATATTAAATATATCTTGTTATAATAAACATACCAATTAAATTTATTAAATTTTTTAAAAAATTCATTATAATCTTATAACAAAGTTGAAATTCAATTTCTGGAATTCATTATATTAAGAGTTAATTATAGTAAGTATTTTAATATATTTGTATTATTAGTTTCGTAACTTTAATTTTAGTTAGATTTTAGTTTTAATCTTTAAGTTTTTAGTTTTTTTGTAATAATATTGAATCTGTATACTATATTTCTACTTATAAAATTAATATAATATTTTTGTGTTACCAAATAAATTTATTTAATTCAATAATAATGACTTTTAAATTTCTTTAAAAAATCACGTGATGTAAAAATTGTTTTAAATAATTTTATTTGATTTAAATATCTAAATAAATCCAGTTTAAATGCAAACTAATTTTAAACTGAAAATTAGATTAACCCAAATTTATAGAAAATTCGATACAGTTTTAAGCTTTAAAATTAATAATAATAATGCTTCAGAACATTTTTTTTGAAAAATATCTAATATCTATCTCTAACTTTAGAATTTACAAATAGCTAAACTTGAAAAATCAATATTAGCATTAAATAATAAATTACATAAAATGAAAAAAGAGGCAGATTGGAATTATGTATCACAAAATATAAATATTCTACTCTATTGTATATATTCTCAATAAAAAGAAAAACTAATTTTTTTGTATACCCTAGCTTTATCTTATTTATCTTCTGGCTGTATCTCTACTAGTCAAATTACAAATATCCTAATAAAGTTCAAACTTTATAAGTGAAATTCATAATCCTATTAATCAAAAAAAAGAATAGAGAAATACTTATATAAATAACTGTACAATCTAATTTTTCAAGAAATTATGCTAAGCTTCTCAACTTTGACTAGTAATTTTATTTCTAAACTTGCTTCCAAACAACCTGGATGAAAACTAAAATAAAAATAAGAGAAACACATATAATAAAATTAAGGTAAAATGATATAAGATTAACTGTTGCATTAATTATTCAAATCACTTCTACATATTATTTTTTTCATTTTTTTGTAATTTAAAATTTCTACAAAATGATAAAAACATATTTTAACATTATAAAAGGATCTTATTTTTTCTTTTTTTATTTATTTATATTTTATAAAGTTTTATAAGTTAGTTTTTTTGTTTATTCAAAAAGTTAGATATACCAATTTAGCATTCTCTATCATTTGTGATTTGCTATATTCTGAATTTATAAGATCACATAACTTTAATGTGCAATAGGTTATGGCATATATATAGTATTTTAAATTATATTTTTAGAAATGATTAACAAATGATCATTATATGCGTTACAAATAACTTTTTACAAAATTTTTTCTTTTAAAACCAAACCTTAATAAAATTATATTTAGAGTTAAAAATTATAAATATAGAATTACAGGTTGGGTTTTTGCAGTATAATTTGACTTAAATACTTTTTTGAAAAAATACGCCACATACTTTAAGCTAGTGATGGCATTTGATCATAATTAAGGCTAGTTTTTTGGCCATTAGCTGATTTGGCCGATTAGTCAAAATAATCAGCTAAAATCTGCAGCCAAAATCCAATTGGTTCTTGACTGCAACTAATGGTCATTTTGGCCATTTTGACCATTGCCAAATCGGTCAAAAATCAAAGATCACATGACTCTACTAATTTTTTTGGCTTTAATATTCAAAAAATGCAATAATTGACACTTCTGACATTTAGAATGTTCAATTATTGAAATTTTGTAATTAATTATCAATTATTGTAAAAATGAAATTAATTGACCATCTTGAACATCAGAGGTGTCAATTATTACATTTTTTGCATCAATAGATAATATATTATTAGCAAATTACAATTCAATATATTTTGAAATAAATATTTATCTATCAATCATAAATTTTTTATAATACTACCATTTGATGTAGCTTATTATAAGGATTCTAATAAGCTATATTTCATCTTTTTACAATTACTGGTTACCAAATTATTGCTATTTAACTTATTTGAATTATAATTATCAAATTGGTAAATATAAATATATATTTGGCTAATTTGGCCAGCCAAAACTTGAAAAAATTTTTGGCCATTTTGGCTATGACCAACTCTGCTTTAAGCTATATAATTAGTATAACCTGTCACACATTAGAAGTGTATGTCTGAAATGTTAGTAGTGCAGCATTTATTTGTTACCAATATCACATCCCTACACTTTTACTATTTATAAGTATTTTAGCAACTTAGTTTTTTTAAATTTAGAAAAAACCTATTCGTAATGTAGTGTTACAATATAAATGCGCTACCAACCTGATACATTTCAGACATGCATTAGAGTAGGTGTTTAATATATAATCCTCTGATCTTATCCAGTATCATCACAAGAATTTTCACCCCCACATGATTTAGTAAATTATTACGATATTTGTCATCCCTCCAATTTTATTAAGTATTCTGGGAACTTGGAAATTTTTTTTCGGAAATAAATCATATTTGTCACGCCTTATTTGTCACATGGTTAATTTACTAATGCCGTAATGCCGGCCAAAGTCACGTGGGGTGAAAAATCTTGTGGCGATACTGATCCGAAACGAATCACGTGATGATCATCACAATGATTAGTTAATAAATTACGTAAATTACGCATTACGATGTATTAATTATTTTTAATAAAGATTGTTGTATAGTAATTCCGACTTAAAGATAGTCATAATTATTGCATAAATAAAAATCCTTCTGCTATTTTCATTCGTTTATAAATATAAACATTAAAGAACTGATTGCAACAAGTAATATACAAACATTGACTGATGAAAACGCGCGTTGGAAGTCCAGGCTTCCTTACTTCTAAAAAACGAAAAATAGAGATTGATAGATTGCTTACAATGGATTATTTTTTTAAAAGATAAGATTTCGAAAAAAAGGATGAGGAGCATAAGATATAGAAAATTTTTTGGAACAGCTATCTCGTAGTCCACATTTTCTAGAATTTCGTGAAAGTGATTTTGTCCAACAGTTTGCATCATAATGTTTGAATTCATTTGAGGTTTGAAACTTCTATTTTCTGTCTGTTATGTTTGTCCTGTTTCGTTTGTTTCGAGTCAATAGAAAGGCTAGTTCGCGTCCGAATTTGATTCTGAGTTGCGTCCCATTTTTGGGTGGTTCGGGTGCACTTTACTTTTTGGTTGCGTCCAAAAGTGTTACAGCAAATCTTTTTTTATACATATTTAGCAAGAAAATAATTCACCGAAGTAGAGCACTAAAAAGAGCGTCGACTTTAAATTCTAAAAGATAATTTACCATATGTTGGACTTACATTTCGACTTTAACGAAGCGCTATCCAATACCGCGCGAGAAACTATAGAGCCTGGTAATGCATTCAAACTTATTTTACAATGTGTGTCGTTGAATTATATATCTAACCTCTTTTATGATGCTGTATAATAAGCTTTGAAACGGAAGCCGATCTCTCACCCCGAAAGCAGAAATTAAAAGAATTACTACGGATCTGACTTATCCAAATGAGCCCTCAAAGGTAAGTCTATAATTATTGTAGTGAGAAACTTATTATATTAACCTTATGTTTGTGATTAGGAGAAGAATCGTTCTGGAAACTTTCTTCCAGATGGTGCAGTGCTCCACCAACACAGAATTTCATTCCACAAAGTGACGAAATGAGCATTCTTCACATGATGATGATGGCGAAGAACTCCTGCCTAAAAAAAATTCTAAATTTTGGAATGATCTTTTAATGACCTGGTCATTTAAGGTCATTTGTCATTTGAGGTCATTTAGGTCATTTGCCATCACTAGTGCCAACTGATACACAACAATGGAGTCTACCTCAGTCAATGATATTTACGCTACAAACATACCTCAATGTGCAGAAATTTTAAAAAACAAAAACACTAAATCCAGTGGAGAGAGCCACCTTGAGATATGGTATGTCAAGGGTCACAGATCTTTCGGCACATATGCGATCTTGGTTTTCCGATATTGATATTCAGCGCGTTCATCATGGATATAGAAAAGGTACATTTATAAAATAACTTTATGTATGGTTGGTTCATCTTACGAAGATTTCCATTTTCATACATAGATGGCGCAGAAGGGAATGGTAAATGAGGCGTACAAAGAGAAGCATGCCAACTCGCCAATCAATACTTGTATTAATAAAATAAGCAAGATATACAGTGAATTGTATGTATTTTACTTTATTTGAATTTTAATATTTGTAGCTTGTCTTGATTTGTCTCTTCTCTGCTTATACCGTATAGTCTTTTCGAAGTAAAAGCTGCCACTAATGTTAAGACGACTGGAGATCGTTGCCGTTCTGCCAGGGTAAATCAATATTGAATGTTGGAAAAAACGATGATTCCTTTTTTGCAAATTTCTGGTGTTTACGAGCAGATGTTGTTAGAAGATTTGTTAAAATGGCTTTTACGTTGTTTTTCCTGGGCCAACATTTGAAATACCTAATTGGCTCACATTAAAATAAAGTTGCCTGACGAAACTCCTGGGTTTAGATATACTATCGAATGTCGTAAGTAAACCTTAGTAAAATCATATAAACTAACCTGTCGAAACCTGTCGAAACTCGTTGAAACCTGCCAAAACTAAATAAAATAGAGGTTTAGAGGTTTCGACAAATCCAAAATACATAGGTTTCGTCGGGCAACTATACATTAAAAAGTTAAAGTCAACGGTGAATATTTTATGGTAAATATTATTATGGATTATTGGAAATATGCTGCGCGAGTTAGTTTTTTGAAATAACATATTATGTTCAACAGGAAATTATGAAGAAATTTTATGAATTAGACCATGGATATAATTCACTCAACGATGTTGTCAAGATTGTCAATCGCGGATCATCACATTACACATCAACTTTTATCCATGATCCATGGTGGACACCGGAAATGGTTTCTTCTCAATTAATGAAGAAATGGAATCAAAAAAAAGAATAATGTATATGGACTGTCAGTGTTGTACTCGAATGTTGTCCCGGTACTTTTTGGCGGACACAGGACGTCCGAAAGTCCATGTGCGGGACTGTGTCACCAGCACATTTTGGACATGGACCGATATTAGATATTTTTTGGCCAGAATTAACAAGTGATGTGGCTAGCATTAATGCAGACAAAAAGTCAGGTGTACAGTATTTTGCGCCTATTAGCGTTAGGTTTTATTATTTCAAAATAGATGATGCATGGCCTCCTCAATAAAAATAATAAAACTTACATTTATAGAATAAAAATCTTTGAATTATCCACCTGTAGCTATTTTTTTCTTGGTGAAAATGTTGTACATATTCAAACCGATAGATCCTTTTTTTTGATATACTGTATAATGTTTGAAAATTTAAATCGAAACTATTCAGATTTTAAAAGTGCATAGTTCATAACCTGGACGGTTCGTGAATCATAATTAATGTTGTTAATTAAAAAATTCTTTAATCATTTTTCGTTTTTGCATTTCCTATAATATTGAACTCCAAATTTTAGAAATTTTTAGTCGTTTATTTATTTTCAAATATAAAATATTCAATTTTTTTTTTTAAAAAAAAAAAAAAATCATCGCTTGAACGTGATATACTTTTTATTAAATGTTAAATGAAAAAAAAAACAATAAATTTATTTATATTATATACATAAGGTAGTACTATCCAAAAATTTAAAAAATTTGAAGTCTTTTAATAACATCAAACTCGTCTTTTTCAAACACATCTATAATTTTCGGGTTTGCAAGTGCTCTCCTTGCATTGACTAAACTGAAAACAATTAATTTTAACGGTTTACGTATCGCCCAATTTATAAAAAAGTTATTTAGATCATATGAAAGTAAACCTGTATCTTGACCTTTTGGATAATATAAGCTTATCCCGTAAAAATTTTCTGGCGCATGAGTCACGACGAGATCCAATATTGTACTTTCACTCAAATAGTCGGTACCACAACAAAATCTAACATGCTCCAATTTCTGACAGTTAAGTAAAATCATTTTTAAAGTTTCATCTTCTTCATTCAAAAATGGTGTATATAGCGATTTAAGGTTTGGACAATTTTTAAAGATAGCCAAATTTGTCAAGCTATCACTGGACCCAAGGTAAAGCTCTTCTAGTTGATTTCCATTAATCTCCAAGAATTCAGTTAAACGTTCTCCATCTGGGGATGCTTTTTGAAGTTCAAAGATTTTTAATCTTGGAAAATGACATGTTTCAAACCCTTCAAAAGAATCTACATCATTAAAACATAATGTTATCTCTTCCAAGTTTTTTAATCTTTCAACCTTTGATAATGACATGAAATTTTCTTGCGCATAAATTTCCAGCTTGATGAGAGAGTTTGGAAGCTCACATAAGTATTCCGTAAAATCATCCCACCCACAATTTGGGACTATCTTGATGTGTTTTAAATCTTTCATAGCAGAAAATAGATCACTCAAACTTCTCGTAATATTACATTCAACTATCACCAATTTAATCAAACGTAAATTTTTACATATTTTAAAGATGTGATAAAAAAATTCCGAAAAAACATCTGAAGTGCAGGTTAATTCCGAAAGATCCTTTAAACAACGAACGGTTCCAGGATAGGTGGAATAAGTAACATCCTGAAAATGGTTTGATTCAAATCCTAGTCCAATCAAAGAGGTCTGTTCCATTAGCATTTTAAATATTTCTCGATTTAGTAAACGGGTAAATTCGGAAAGCTGTCGTTGTCGTCGTTGTCGTCGTTGTCGATTAAGGATAAGCTCAAGTCTTCTTTCAACCTTTTCAATCGAAAGGAATTTAATAAATTGTGTATAATTAAAAAATGGAGTCGAGGTTGGAATGATGATGTCATTTCTACGTAATAGTTCTTTTGATTCATTAGGAAGACAACTTATTAAAGTTTTATAATTCCGAATGTTCCTCCATAAAAATGGAACGCAAACTTCACTCCAATGATGGCATACTAATAAAGTAGAATTTAAAGCAATAGAATGTGTCAAATATTTAAATATTTCATGCAAAATATCGGTTGGAAGTTGAGGAGGCGTTTTTAGTTGATTAATACGAATGGGAAGATAAAGTTCATTTTTTAAACTTCTGATCTCACGAATAGAATAATTTTTCATTTTTTCGTTTTTTTTCGTTCAAGGAAATATTATAAAAAGAGAGAAATATTGGAACGGTGGGAGTATTTTGGTTATGCATGCATGTTATTTGTATTGTCAAAAAAAAATTTTTTTCAAATGCAACAAATGCATGTTTTTTACTTTAAAGGTAAAAACATTTCTAAAAGTTTGCTCTATAAAAATCAAGCGATTAACTCGTTTTGGCGAAAAACTTCCGATTACTAAAAATCGAACATTCGAAATTCGAAACAGGTATCGGCTATCCATTTGTACTACGCAATTTATTCCATATATTTAATGTGATATATTAAATAATGAATGTTTTGAAACTAGGTTTAAAGTATTTCATTTTCTTTAGGTAGAAAAGTGATCTCAAAGTATTATAATTCCAAATGCTTTCCCATAAACTTTTAAATATTCGACGGCTGAGTCGACTCTGCAAAAATCAAGTAGAGTCAACTTCGGAATTTTCAATGACTGAGCCATGACTGAGGTCGCTTTTCCAAATTTGATAAAATGTCAGAATATTGTGAAATTTTTAATTAAATAAAACTTCAAATTTTTAGTCAAAAGGGATTCTTGATTAAATTTTAAAAACATTTGACAAATATTAAGATATTAATGATACAATTATGGTCTCTAATTTCAAATGAGAGTCTCGACTCAGTCAATGGCTGAGTCGACTGAAAAGTCTCTAACGGCAAATTGATGAATTCGGGAATTCGATGTAATTGCATGTCATAATCGATAAAGTATCATTCTGTCGAAAGTTCATCAATTCATCTCTGTTGTAAAGTTTATGACATTTCGTACAAGGTACGAAACTATGAAATCGGTCTTTGAGGTCAAGCGATTTCTTTGCTGACTGAGTCGACTCCAGAATTTGTCACGACTGGTACTACTAATTCAACCATCTCTTTCATATGTAAAAAAGAATAAAGTGCAGATCCTTTTTTATCAAATATAATAATTTAAGTATATAAATAAAAATATTTATGTTTTAAAAATTTTGCATAATTTTATACAAATAAATAAAAAAACTATTTATTAATAATTAGGAAATTTTAATTTTATTTATTTAATAAAAAAAAAAAATTAATTAATATATGGGAGGTTTGCTAGGAAAATGGGGCTCTGAGGAATTTTTATTAAAATTTTAATTTTTTATTGCATTTTAATCTAACATTATCAAAAATTAAAATGCAATAAAAATTAAAATTTTAATAAAAATTTCTTAGAGCCCCATTTT